CTGGTGGTTGATATTTCTGTTGTTATGTAAATAGCACACGCTATACATCTGGTGGTTGAGATTTATGTTGTTATGTAAAATGCACACGCTATACATCTGGTGGATAATATTTCTGTTGTTATGTAAAATGCACACGATGTACATCTGGTTATTGAGATTTCTGTTGTTATGTGAAATGCACACGCTATACATCTGGTGGTTGATATTTCTGTTGTTATGTAAAATGCACACGCTATACATCTGGTGGTTGATATATCTGTTGTAATGTAAAATGCACACGGTATACATGTAGTGGTTGAGATATCCGTTGTTATGTAAAATGTACAAGGTATACATGTAGTGGTTGAGATAGCTGTTGTTATGTGAAATGCACACGCTATACATCTGGTGGTTGAGATTTATGTTGTTATGTGAAATGCATACGCTATACATCTGGTTAATATTTCTGTTGTTATGTAAAATGCACACGATGTACATCTGGTTATTGAGATTTCTGTTGTTATGTGAAATGCACACGCTATACATCTGGTGGTTGATATTTCTGTTGTTATGTAAAATGCACACGCTATACATCTGGTGGTTGAGATTTATGTTGTTATGTAAAATGCACACGCTATACATCTGGTGGTTGAGATTTATGTTGTTATGTAAAATACACACGCTATACATCTGGTGGTTCAGATTTCTGTTGTTATGTAAAATGCACACGCTATACATCTGGTGGTTCAGATTTCTGTTGTTATGTAAAATGCACACGCTATACATCTGGTGGTTGCGATTTCTGTTGTTATGTGAAATGCACGTGCTATACATCTGGTGGTTGAGATTTATGTTGTTATGTGAAATGCACGTGCTATACATCTGGTGGTTGAGATTTCTGTTGTTATGTAAAGTGCACACGCTGTACATCTGGTGGTTGCGATTTCTGTTGTTATGTGAAATGCACACGCTATACATCTGGTGGTTTAGATATCTGTTGCTATGTAAAATGCGTTATTGTTTATTAGGCTTAAATCAGGATCAATCAGGAGCAAAATATATACACAAAACTAGGTAATACTGATCTGTATGCAAAAACCCATCATGTCAGAAAAGGACATCATACAGTAAAAGAAAGTAACAATAACAAAATAATGGGATATGAAACACATCGAGAAACGAAAAGGGTAAAATAAGTAAGTCTTCACCAAACTGACAGCACAGTTATCTAAGCACAGAGGTTAACAAATCCTGGATAATCTTTTCGAAACCGTTCAAAGAATTAATTGTGTTCTAACAGACCCTGTCAACGCACAGAGCTTTTCTCAGGGCTTCCGTGAAGACGGTAATCTTTTAGCAGAAGAAATATAGTTTACAAACATATAAGAAATTAGTATCTACTAACACAAGAGTAATTAATAATTAGGCTTAGGTGATCGTATAAGCTACTTACCATAACAATGATAATATCTGGTCGCCACAACCTCACCTTAAGTATAAAATATTCCAAATATCCTTTAACTGTTTTGTGCATATTTGTACAGCATCCCATTTATTTATATTTTCCAAAGGTGTTGAATGAGAAACTTTTATAATTTTTTCTTATTATTGACCCAAAAATAAGCGTAATGAATAATGAGTAATTATATTTGGGGACAAAATTCGAGTTATATTATTGATATTTCAAAATAATTTTTCTGTGTGGGATTTAAACATCACGAGCACTATTTTTCAAGTACTTTCGTTATACTCTGAGAAATAAAATTAGCGTATACGGTTTGGAATGCTTAATAAAGTCATCACGAAAATCAAAATATTTCTAATATGCTCAATAAGGTTACCACCAAGATATTTCTAGAGCGCTTTTTTTAAAGATAATTATCAAAATATTTCTAGAGCACTTAATAAGGCATGCTTAATAACTAAGTTAAATATGAGGGTATAAGTTATTGTTCTCTTTTATCATGAAGGCTTAGCTTTTAAACATTAGATTTGATAAGTAATTCGAGGGAAATTCGAAAGCAGTTATTAACATGTATATAAAACTTTTAACAAATAAAAAGTTGTACACGTCTTACGTTGTTAAGAATGTGTTATTATATTTCCGAATTAAACATTTCATGTCGTGTAACGCCAATATATATAGTAGGGGGTGCAGTAAAGACTTGTTGGCACGAATTTTAAGTCTCACAAATAAATCTTGCTATGCTAGTTGTTTGTTTTTTTCCTTTGTCGTTGCTTAACTGGTACTAGATAATACGTTAAGTTTTTTGTTCGAGTGGCCTTCGTGTAAGCTCAGGCATTGGCCTTCGAGGAAATTTATGTCAACATAATATGCCAACACCAATTTTTTTTTTTTTTTACGAAATATGAATATATTCCTTTTATCGATATCATTTCTGATCCTTGCGTGTGTAAGGAATTATTATTTCCAATTTAATGTTTATTGTCTCAAGCAATGGATTATTTGACTGTAGATAACCAATCGTAAGATCTACTTCAACAACCAATATTTTCTCATTATTGTTATTTTATAGAACGTAATATTTTGTAAAGACTTACCTCATAGCTCTACTTAATTTCTCGTACGTCATTTTTGTATTCTGTTTACGATCTCCCCATAACTTGGCGACTTTCTCGGACTGTACAAATTTAAATATTCCTTCCTCTCGTCGTTCCCATCGAATATATGCCGGATTATAGTTTGGATTCAGAAGAAGATCCCGGATGAACTCCCACAATTTTCCCAATCCTTTGCCTAAGACGGTATTCACATGTTTTATCACAAACTCTAAATAAATAGTATTACAAAATCGCAAAATTTTCTTAGAATTATTTTACCGATAAAGACGAAACGTTAAAGGGTTCTCCTATCCAAATAATCATCTTCTGTGGCACAATACACGAAATCTGATCATTTCTGACGAACCAACAATTTTTGTTTTGTTTTGTTTGTAGTTAAGCACAAAGCTACACAATGGGCTATCTGTGCTCCGCCCACCACGGCTATCGAAACCCGGTTTCTAGCGTTGTAAGTCCGCAGACATGCCGCTGTGCCACCGGGGGGGGGTATTTATTTAATGAAAACACAGATAGCAAGGGCTGGTATTCTTTCTCGAAATGCTGAATTCAAATACTATACGAATAACAAAATTATAAACAAATTTGATTGTAACACGTTTATTCGAATCACTTTTTTTTTGCGCATGTATGTATAAAGACTCTTTCACACAAAATATTATGCAGCTATTTCACACTCACGAGAATGTTTAAGAATATTCACAAACGATGCACTGTTTCACTGATTTCATGTTGTATCTCACGATAATTGAACTTATCGGTCCAATGTTTGCATTTTCCAGCTGTTTCTAAACTGTTGAAAGTTCAAACGATTTCCATACTTTTGTAGGCAACAGCAATATTTTTGAAACCAATTTTTCTTTTCATATTGAACAGAAAAGAAAACAATGACGACAACAACTGTTTATGCGTAATTATTTAGAGCAACTACTAAAATTTGTTAGACACAAAGTTTTAACTTTTATTACCTTGCCGATTTCTGCATTTGGCATCTTTTTTAGGTGGCCTCCCTCGTCGCCCGGCGCCTTGTTTTTTGTTTCTTGAAGATATATCTAAAAGAAAGAACAGTTTTGAAGGACACCGTTTTTAACTCTTTCAAACTATAATGGTTATGTAATAATGATGATACCGTGCTCTTTTCCAAACCTGGTAATCACCTCTTTTCATTGTAATATCTCAAGCATGACATAACTTGTAAAAACTGGTTAAACAACGATAGCTGAAGTACAAGTCGTAAAAAAACAACAACAAAAAAGCAATGTTCTGTTTGATATACTTTTGTCCACAGTGACCTTGAAGTTGAATTATTGGACTTTAAAATCTGGGTATTTAGAATGCAGAATCAATGTAATAGAAGATGGCTAGAAACCGAAATTAAAAACTCAATTGAAATATTTCGAGAAAATTTATATTTTAGGGGGGGGGGGGTGCGCCATAAAGAAGCTTCTGTAACATGTGATTCTACGATTTAACTGCACGTTACGTAAATTTAATGGCCCGCCATGGCTAGGTGGTTAAGGACGCTCGACTCGCAATCTGAGGGTCGCGGGTTCGAATCCCCGTCACACCAAACATGCTCGCCCTTTCAGCCGTGGGGCGTTATAATGTGACGGTCAATTCCACTATTCGTTGGTAAAAGAGTAGCCCAAGAGTTGGCGGTGAGTGATGATGACTAGCTGTCTTCCCTCACGGCTGAAGGGGCGAGCAGTATATTTGGTGGGACGTAGATTAGAACTCGCGACCCTCAGATTGCGAGTCAAGCGCTCTAACCGCCTGGCCATGACACCCCCCCCTAAAAAAAACAGGAAAGGGAAAACGTAAATTAATTCTTATTTTCTGAATATGCTACTGTTAAATTATATTGTTAATTGTTTTATCGTTCCTGATATATTATGCGATACCGTAGACATGAATTTACAAAACCTATTTTTTTTATAGTTATTTGTACTTTTCTTCTTCTTTCAAGCCCCCATGTGGCAGAGCGGTATATTTACGGACTTACAACGCTAGGAACCAGGTTTCAATACCCTTGGTGGGCATAGCACAGATAGTCCTTTGTGTATCTTTGTGCTTAACTACAAGCAAACAAACAAACAATCTTCTTCTAAATGAATTATTTGAACACGATTTGTTTGTTTGTTGAACTTCGCACAAGCCGTCCCTAATTTTGAAATGATTGACTAGAAAGAAGGCATCTAGTCAACATTATTCACCGCCAACTCTTGGGCTCTTCCTTATCAACGAAAAGTGGGATTGACTATCACATTATAACGCCGCCACGGCTGAAAGGTGGAGCATGTTCGGTAATGGGGTTCGATCCCGCGACCAGCAGATTGCGAATTGAGCGCCCTTATCATTAGGCCACGCCGGAGTTATTATAGCACGATTATCCAAACACAGACGTCGGAACCGGTAATGCTGTAGCATCCCCACTTTGACATATCTGAGTT